GGGGGAATGACCATCCTGGGGCACTGACCGTCCCAGGCACTGACCATCCTGGGGGAATGATCATCCTGGACACTGACCATCCCAGGGCACTGATGATCTCAGGGACTGACCATCCCAGGGCACTGACCATCCCAGGGCACTGACGATCTCAGGGACTGACCATCCCAGGGCACTGACGATCTCAGGGACTGACCATCCCAGGGCACTGACGATCTCAGGGCACTGACCATCCAGGGCACTGACCATCCCAGACTGACCATCCCTGTGCCCTTAGGTTGCCAGCACCACGCTGCAGATGCAGGGAGCGCTGGAGCAGCACCTGGCACGGCTGAACGAGCTGCTGGCCTCGCGGGGGGATTACGTGCAGACCCTCAAGTTCACGCAGCAGCTGGCTGGCAGCATTGTCCTGCAGCTCCAGGGGCTGCCAGCCTGGCGGGGCGTCAGCGCTGACCTCACCGAGCTGTCAGGACAGGTGGCCTATGTGGAGTATTACAGGTGAGCCCCAGCACCCTGGGATGTGCCAGCAGGGCTGGGGAGGTTCCCCTGTGTGACACAGCCTTCCTCTGCCCCCAGGTGGTTGGCTTACCTGCTCTTCTTCATCCTCGTCCTCACCGTCTGCCTGCTGGCCTGCCTGGGGCTGGCCAAGCACTCCCGCTGCCTCCTGCTCCTGTGAGTACCTGGGGACGGCCTCGGGGGGCTCACGGGGACCCCCAGCCATGCTGCCCACTCTGCTCTCCCTGCAGGATGCTGTGCTGTGGGCTGCTCATGCTGGTCCTCAGCTGGGCCTCCATGGCCGTGGACACGGCGGCTGCGGTGGTGAGTGGGGCAGGAGGGGAGGGAAGGGCTGCCCAGGGCTGTGCCAAGCACTGTGGGCATCACTGACATTCTTTGGGGCAGGGGGGGCCGGAGGGAAAGGTTGCTGGGGGCTGTGATGAGCTCTGTGGGCTTTGGTGACATCGCTCTGTCCCCACAGGGCACCAGCGACTTCTGTGTGGCGCCGGACAAGTTCATCATGAACCAGACAGATGATGAGATCAGTGCAGGTGAGGGCTGGCTGTGAGGTGGAGGCAGGCATGGGCAGGACCCCCAAACCCACCTGGGGTCTGCCACTGTCCCCCCATGGCTCCCTGAGCCCCAGGATGCCCCTGCTGATGTTCCCCTTCTCTCTGCAGAGGTGGTTCATTATTACCTGTACTGTGACCAGAGCCTGAGCAGCCCCTTCCAGCAGGTACAGGGGGGTGGGCACCCCCTTTGGTGCTGCCTGGGCCTGGGGGGGTCTGTGACTGTGCCCCACATCCCCCTGCAGGCTCTCACCGTGTTCCAGCGCTCGCTGACCACCATGCAGATCCAGATCCAGGGGCTCATCCAGTATGCGCTGCCCCTCTTCCCCACAGCTGAGGTACAGGAGCGGGGAGCAGGGATCCCCATCCCTCCCTCTGCTCCCCAGAGCTGCCTGACCCCCCCTTTTATCACAGAAAGACCTTTTGAGGGTGCAGCAGCTCCTCAACTCCTCAGAAACCAGTCTGCACCAGCTGACAGCGCTGCTGGACTGCCGGGGGCTGCACAAGGTGAGGAGGGGGTGACAGGGGAGCATGGCTGGGGTCCCCTGGGGTGCCACCAGCGCTGCCCTGCCTGTGTCCCACCAGGACTACCTGGATGGCCTCACTGGCATCTGCTACGACGGCGTGGAGGGGCTGCTCTACCTGGGGCTCTTCTCCCTGCTGGCGGCCGCCGCCTTCT